GAATTCCTCTGGATCTCTTACCTCGTAGCGTTAATGTTAACAGTAAGGTCTCCCGCACTGCTGTTCTGCATCACATCGAGTAAAAAGGTGATGTTGAGCTGGAAAAAAAGAGATGTTTGTGAGAATAGACAACAAATAAATTAATTTATCTTCTAGTGCTATAGAGATTCACCTTTGAGAAAGGAGGCATGTATAAATTCCCAACACTGCAGTCCAGTCCAATTGCCAGTTTATTCTCTTCTACAATTTCACAGCTGACGAGTTTGTCCTCCTGAAATCATATCGTATTATTCAAGCAAATGTGAAGGCATCTGGTGGTGTAGAAGAAATTAAGAACTGCAGTGGCAAAATGAAATTACCTCCAGCACTTTGATGAAATGCAGATTGCTGGGGAATCTTAAGTGAAGTTTGGGGAGAAAAGCATCATCTCCAGTGTTGAGCAGTGTGGTGTTTAACATGATGCTTTTGCCATTACCTAGAGCAAAATATGGCATTTTATTGTAGGACCTGTTGGGAAAACAGATTTAAAAATAGATAAGTTAGGTTGGATTTCATTACAAATTTACTTACAATCCCTAAAATTCAGTGCAGGATGGGTGAAAAAGAAGAATCAGAAAATAACTAATTTTTAAAATGCTAATAAAAAAAAATGGGATTTCCTTGTCTAAAAAAATAAATAAATAAAAATACATAAAATAAAAAACAACAAAATAAATAAAATAACAAAAACTAAACAAAACAAATAAAAATAAAAACAAAACAAATAACAACAAAGCAAAAAATAAAAATTAAATACAAAAACAAAATAAAATACAAATAAATAAATGAAATTTAAATAACTAAAATAAAAAATAATAAAAATAAAATAAATAAATAAATAAATGAAATAAAATAATAAAAATAAAATAAATAAATTAAATTAAATATAAAAAGAAAAATGAAAATGAAATAAATAAATAAAAAACAAAAAGACAAAAATAAAAAAATAAATAACAAAAACTAAACTAAACAAGTAAAAAAAACAACAAAATAAAAATAAATAAAAGAAAAAATGAATAAAAGAAAAAGAATCATAAAATCAAAATAAATAAATAAATAAAAAAGTAAAATTAATAAAATAAAACAAAAAATTAAAGTAAAAAACTAAAAAATAAATAAATTAAATAAATAAAACTAAATATTATTAGTAAAAATAATAAAAATTAAATAAGTAAAATAAATAAAATGCATAAAATATAATAAAAATAAATAAAAATGAATAAAAGAAAAAAAAATAACATAACATAAATAAAATAAAAATAATAATAAAGTAAATAAATTAATAAAATATAATATAATAATAAAAATAAAATACATAAATAAATAAAATACAATACTAAAAATAAAACACATAAAATAAAAACCCAAATAACAAAATAAATACATAAAATAAAATAATAAACGTAAAAATAATAAGTAAAATTAAAAAATAATTTATAATTGGCAATCATTTCCGTTTTTGCATTGATGATAACAAAATTATAACTATTGCTATAACTGCACTAGATAGATTTAAAATGATTTAGATGATTTTATCTCCAGGTTGTGTGAACATACACTATTTTTCACAAGATCAATTTATTAATCAAAGGTGCCTATATAAAACTGAAAATTAAACTGTTCATAATGTGTTTGAAGGACAAAAAAAATCATAATCCATATCAGTACATTTTATTTAATATAATTAATATATTGCAGTAACTTTGCAACTTCAATTTAGTTTAATGTAAAATATGAAACAAAAGGTACTATTTTAAAGACTTTAAATAAAGCAATTTCCTAAATGTTTAATTTTGTGGTCATTAAAACTGTTTATAGTTTATTGCAGAATGTTTGCAAGACTAATTTGTTTAAAACTGAAAGAAAAAAAAGGTGTGTTTTCCAGTTTTCCCTGCATGTGTTTGCATAGCTTGTGAACTGAGGGCTCAAGCCTGATGTTTCTCATCTAAAGGCACCAGGTGCATCTGGGAGAGTGACAACACACACACACCCATACGCACACACAGCTTATGAATAATCAGATTATGTATTATCACCAATGGGTGAGGGGGGCCCATAAATTAGTTTGCATACGGCTCCAAACATGATCCAAAATGCTAATGTGCACACTCACGCTTGCGCCTCAATTGGGTGAGTCCAAGAAATGTGATGCATAAAATGCCTCGATATAAAGCTTTGGCTACTGTGCTCGCTGCTTTAATGAGTGTATTCATGAGGAGAACAGATAATCTGGAAAGTCCTCCTGTTAGTCACGAACAACACCAGCACAAGTGAAGATTTACTGAGGCAGTAGTTGTTCACAACGCACTTGAAAAGAAAAACAAGTCAAGAACCGAGAAGTATTGAGCTGTTGCTAAGCTTAAGCTGTTGATCAACTATATATATGTAATGTACGAAATCATGCGTCACTGTCAAAAAATAATAGCACTCTTAAAGAAATAAATATATAGCTGGTAAAAATCCTAATCAGATTGTGTGTCAAAATCAAATTATTAATATAGGAAATTCTTCTTTTCTTTGAAAAAATTCAACCAATTTGAAGGCGTTTTTTTTATAATACAAACATTAAACATACATAAAATTGCAAACTTATTGCTGAATAGTCTTAAAGCGATAGTTCACTCCAAAAAATAAATCATTTTGTCCTCATTTACTCTCCCTGTACTTGTTAGAAACCTTATTGAGCTTCTTTCTTCTGTTGAAAACAAAGGAAACCTTTCATAGGATTTTATGTGTAGTAACAAAAAATAAATAAATAAAAAATAAAAAATTCTTCCTAAATGAATCAGATGTTTTGAAAAATAAATAAATAAATACATAATGAATAAGAGAAACACATCGCCACCTTCTGGTGCTATATGACGAAACCAGCCATTCATTTATTGTTTTTTTTTACATAAAATAAAATAAAGCCTAAAAAAAATAAACATAATTAAAAAATAACAAATAAAATAAAAAAAATTAATTAAAATAAATAAAATTAATTTAAGAAATAATAAAATAAATAAATGAATAAAATATAATGTAATAATTAATTTAATTATTTTTAATTATCAATATTGAAGAAATTCCCCCAAATATTGAAATTTAATTTTGTATGTGCATTTTGGAATATTGCATTAAAAAATGCTTGATGGAAACGCAAAGATGTGCATTTAAAAATATTATGTGCACAACTATGATATTTTTTATGTGATAAAAAAAATTACAACAGAAATACATTTACAGAATAACTTCAAGTATGTGCAACAAAATAGAAATGTGTTTTTGTAATACAAGATTATGTGATGACAAAAATAGATGCTACAGACAGCATTAATGGACAAACCGGAAGAACGACCACAGTGGACAATATCTGATATGTTGGTTATTATACATTCATTCATTCATCTTCCTTCAGCTTAGTCCCTTTATTTATCAGGGGTCGCCACAGCGGAATGAACCGCCAACTTATCCAGCATATGTTTTACACAGTGGATGCTTCCAGCTGCAACCCAGTACTGGGAAACACCCATACACACTCGTTTAAACACTACAGCCAATTTAGTTTATTCAATTCACCTATAGCACAAGTCTTTGGACAGTGGGGGAAACTGGAGCACCTGGTGGAAACCCACACCAACACGGGAAGAACATGTAAACTCCACACAGAAATGCCAACTGACCCAGACAGGACAGCCTCCTTCAAGCTAAAATAAAACAAAAAACAACAAAATAAAATGAAAAATAAATTAAATAAACATAAAATAAACAAATAAAATAAATTAAAATAAAATGCAATAAATAATTTATAACAGCAGAAAAAAAGGCCCACGGTGGCTTCTCATTAAGCAGCAAATTCCATGTTTTCTTTTTTATATTTGGTACTAATTATCAGGAAGTGATGATTTTGAAATGTCATTGTACTAGTAAATCTGTTATGGAATATTTCAGTCTCATAAGTTTAATTGACATTTTTGAATGGAAACATCTATTTAACTCAATGTAATAATTTTTTTTGTTCCTACTATGGATGTCAGTGGCTGCTTTTTGCCCCCCAAAAGTTCTTCAGAATATCTTACTTTGTGCTCAACAGAAGAAAGAAAATCATAAAAGTTTAAAAATATTGAGGAAATTTTCATTTTTAGTGACCTATCCCTTCCAAGGTACAACCCCCAGCCTTGTTTACTGAAATATCAATAACAATCGGTAACACTTTGCAATAAGGTTCATTAGTTAATGCATTTACTAACGTGAACTAATCATGAACAACACTTTTACAGCATTTATTCATCATAATCGAACATTTACTAATGCATTATTAACATTCAAGTCCATGCTTGTTAACATTAGTTAATGCACCATGAGTTAACATGAACTAACAATGAACAACTGTATTTTCATTAACTAACGTTAACTAACATGAACAAATACAGAAGTAAATGTATTGTTCATTGTTTGTTTATCTTAGTAAATGCATTAATTAACATTAACTAATGAACCTTATTGTAAAGTGTGACCTAACAAGCAAGTGAAGTTATCATTAAATCTACAAATATCTGCCAAATGGGGTTCAGAAATGTAAAATATTCCTTCTCTATTTTTCTGATGACACTGTTTTAATGTTTTATACATAAACTTACAACAAACGTGATACTGACTAAAATTGATCTCTGAACATTTTGGGAAATGTCTACAGTAATAATAATTTAAAAACGACCTGTCGTGAATAAATATAACATTAGAAGCACCAGTAGGTTATGACTGTCTTATTCATTGAAATGAACGCAAACAATTCATTGGTGCTGATCTCATTGTTGGCAATGTGATGACATGCAGCGAAAATATAGACTTTGGGTGTCCCGGAATCTCAGTTTGTGGACTTTTCCCAATCCTAGCTATTGTCTAATCAAAACAAAGGCAAAAATCTTGCAAAAACAAATCTTAAAAAATAAATAAATAAAAATGAAGATTCATTAAGGCAAAAACAAGTGCATTTTTAATAAAACTGCACAAAATGTATATGGAAAATCCTGTGGATATAACCCAGTTAGCATAAGTCAGTTAAATAACTTACTGTGGTAAAACCAAACGAGCAGAAACCTGTAGGTTGGTTGAGCAGTTTTCCCAGGAGCAGTATCTAGCAAAGATGGTCTACAAAAAAAAGGACATTTTTCAAATCACAACATTGTGATCATAACTGAAGATTTAGTTCTACAAAACAACTAAACAGGGATGGAGAAAAATGCTGACCTTGTTTTTGATGACATTGTCCAGTTCATCCTTCTGCTGTAAAATGGGTTTAAGGGCAGGCAAATCACCCAAGTCTCTCTGCACCACACGATGCTCTCCAAGTTCATATTTGACCTCAAAATGAATGGGTGTGAAGATATCACGAACATCTTTCTGCATATAAAAGAAACAAACATAACCCATTGGATCATTGACTCATTAAAAACAGATTCATTCAGTGAGCAAGTTTACATGGACACCAATAATCTGATTTTATTACGATTAAGACAATACTCTGATTAAGAGTCTACCATATAAACAGTGATTTTTTTAATTACCTTAGACCTTAGGCAGACTAAAGTCACAATCGATCATATTAAGCCATGTGGAGTATTCCTATTTTAGTCACATTATTGAAATGCGGTACAGACATGTAAACACCTTAAGACTGGTTTATACTTCAGCATCAAGTGACCGGCGTAACCCATAGCGCATGCAACACGCGTAGCTGTTCATTTATACTTCTGCGCGCTGTCTCTGTTGGTCTGCATTACCATTTCCGAAACGCTAAATGGCAGTGAGGCGTTTATGTTCCTTTTTGTCGAGTTTCTTCACTGGTGTTTTGTTTTTTCTGAACGCTTCCTGAATGTACAAGTGGCTCAAACTCGCTGATTTTGCGGACGTGCAACAACCTTAACTATGAGGTAAACACAAAACAAAACAAAACTTTTCATTCGGAGCTCCTTCCCGGGACTCCACACTTGTAAACAATCACTCCATGGGCTTGCGCCGCTTGTGCGGCTCTCTGTCCTGCCGAGACTTGTCAGCGCTACCAAGCCAACCAATCACAGAGCTTGCGCTACGCGTCGTTGCGAAGTGTAGTTACATTTTTTGAGAGGTGCACGTCAGTGATGCCGACTGCCACGGCGTAGGGCTGTGTGTAAACTAGTAGGCTGCGCCGTTCTTCTTCCATTCGGCATGTGGTATCAAACTCCATTAAAACAACACTCTTCCACCAGTCCTTACGTCTTACTCTCATCCAATACCTCAGTTTGACACGGGGGCATGGATGAAATGTTTTTAAATAAAAAGTGAAAGTGCCAAACTGCAGTTAAAGTTGACAAATTAAAAATAAAACACCCGAAATTTCACAAAACTGAAAAAACTGAACAAAAAAAAGGAAATGTGGATAGCGCGGTGACAATGTTGTTAATCAAATTATGTGCTCTAACATGTAAAACGGAATCATGAAGGAAACATTAAAAAAGCAACTCATGTAAACACTTTAATCATATTATTGTCTTACTTAGATTAAGGCAAATAATTAGATCATTGATGTCCATCTAAATTATGACACTAAACTATTTTTATGTGTAATACAGAAATTTTTTTTAGTTCAACTCATCAAGTTTTAACTTTGTTAAACGGCTGTATGAAGTCAATATCACAATCATGATATTGTTCACATATTAATATTAAATTAAACAAAATCCCACAAAAATATTATGGCCTATAATAACTGAAATCATATAGTCATTCTAACAGGATTCATGCTTGAATGTAGAAAAAAAAGGTTTGAGACTGAAAAAGCAAAGTAAGTAACATGCTTGATCAAGTCATTGTACACAAAAAAAATATCTGTAATAATATTTCACAAAATTTTTCATCAAATAAATGCAGATGGGTAAAAATGCAGTTGAAGTCAGAGTTCTTAGCCCTGAAGTGCATGTAGTAATAACTGAAACTGTATTGTTTGTTTGTGCGTGTGTGTGAATATATATATATGTGTATATATATATATATATATATATATATATATATATATATATATATATATATATATATATATATATATATATATATATACATAAATAACAATAATGGGTTTTATTTCTGTATTAGTGATCACGATCACAAAGAAATCGTTCTTTTTAATCAGATCTTCTAAGTAAACCGGTTGAACTAATTCACCAAATCGAACTGAATCATTTGCAATGATTCGCGTTTCCAGTAAGCACTTAAACACAAATAACTTACATTTTACATGCCTCATACTCCTCTGACTTAAAATAAACCAATATATACTGAGTTATTCAGTCATTAGAACAGTACACCGAGATCAGATTTGAGAAGCGGTGACCTGATAATACTGTGCATGTGTGATTCGGTGAACTGAACACAAACATAAACTGGGCAACTGCAGTGTGGGTAAATCAAGGGCTTAAATGAGAGAATCTGGCAAAGTTTTTATTATAACAGAAAGTCATAATGGACTTGTAGGTTGTTTACTTGAATTTAAGGATGGGTAGATGGTAATGTTCTTGTGTCAAAAAATGTAGACTATCTTTGGTTGAGTTTTTAATATACAATATTTATTTTGATAATTTTGAATTTGAATTTAATTGAATCTAAAAAATATCCTAATTTACAAAAAAAAAATACTGAAACTAATAAAAACTAAACTAAAACTAAGCAATTTTAAAATATAAAAACTAACAAAATTAGTAAATCTCCCTTTAAAACTAATTAAAACTATTTAAATTTAAAAACAAAAAGTCAAAACAAAAAAATAACTAATGAAAGATCCAAAACTATTATAACCATCTACTCTTTCTATTTCCCAATCTTAATTTTCCTCCCCTCTGCTCAGATAATGAATGCAGGTAAGGCTTGCTCTGTCAGCTGTGATGGTGGTCTCTAATTGGGCTTACAATGGTTGGGAGTTGTCCTGTGGGTTCTCTCGGGCCTGTATTTCGCTTCAGGGGAGAAGTGTGACCGGGGTTTCGGAACGCTCTTCAATGGCCAGTGTAAATGAGCTGGACCACAGCCACATTAGCCGTCTCAGAGAGACGCTCGTTTCAGCTGAAAAGGCTAAACTCAAAGTCATCGCTGTGAACTTTTGTCCTTTGCTCAGGATGTGGTTTCTGAAATCAGTCATACATGCACATGTCTCATGCATCTACTGCTGTGTCGGACCTCATGGGAACAAGCAGACACAAAATTAACTCTTGTCAAGTGCCAAAAGCAGTAAAATCTAGAGTAAAAGTAGAGTTGACTTTATTCATTGCAACCAGTGTTGTGCTAGTTACTGAAAAATAGTAGCTAGTTACAACTAGTTACTTCATTCAAAAAGTAACTCAATTACTTTATTGATTACTTTTAGTAAATCATGATCAGTAAAGGTTTTAATAAATCATGATCAGTAAAGGTTACTTCTAATGTATTTAGACAATTCATATTTTAAAGAACACTGAAATTATATCATCAGCAAATTGTGGTTTACCCAGGAAGCAATTATGTAGTTTACACAAACATGTCTAAGACAGGGTGTTTTGTTCACACCTTCGCTTAGCTATGAGTACATTTAGCTCAAAACAAGAACTGAAAGCACTACGCCTTCCTTCCACAAAATGAGAACAGATTAGTGATAAAAATGTTTAGACAAGGGAAATTAAGGGTTACTTGCACAACTGCACAAAGCTGGCCTCCATTACACTCAACCTTCTAATCTTCACTCCCTCTCGGCACCAAATGTACAATCTCCGGCTCTGGCGCATGCATGCATATATAAATATAAATATAATATAATACTATATAATATAAATATATATATATAGTTGAAGTCAGAAATATTAGCCCCTTTTTGTTTTTTTTTGTTTTTTTTTTATATTTCCCAAATGATGTTTAACAGAGCAAGGAAATTTTCACAGTATGTCTGATAATATTTTTTTCTTCTGGAGGAAGTCTTATTTATTTTATTTTGGCTACAATAAAAGCAGTTTTAAATTTTTAAAAAAACAATTTTGGGCCTAATTTTTAGCCCCTTTAAGCAAATTTTTTTTTCGATAGTCTACAGAACAAACCATCGTTATACAACAACTTGCCTAATTACCCTAACCTGCCTAGTTCACCTTATTTATATATATATATATATATATATATATATATATATATATATATATATATATATATATATATATATATATATATATATTCAAACCAGTGCTTGTTGATTGGTTATTAAGTTGTAAATCATCCAAGTTATACATTACAAATTCATTAATGTTGACCCTTCCAACATCCAATGACAAGGGAATTTCTTTTGGGGTCTTTCAAGGTGATAACAAAAATATATGGTAGGTAAGCTCAGACATGGCACTTACTCATACTCCTCCGTCGACTTCCTAAAGGTGTCCACCACAACTGCTTTGTCTTCCAGTTGTTACTCTTAGTCCCCATTAATTAAGCTCTACAAATACCTCAGATGTAGTAGCCTCGAAGCAGTGAACAAGAGAATAAGATTTACTTGCGCAGTTCTGACCTCACTCCCATCTGGGTCACAGTACCAATGTAATCTCTCTGGTTTTACTGACCCATCCTGAGAGGATTTGAATAGATGATTGGGGAATTATGTTTAAAGTTCTATCTAGCTGTCCTTCTGAACACTGACCAATCCAAACCCACCCACTCCTCGCCCCCCCACCCATCTGCTTTGTCTTCCAGTTGTTACTCTTATTGCCCATTAATTAATTAATAAAATATCTCAGATAAACCAGCTTCTAACCAGTGATCAAGGGAATGAGATTTACTTGATTTCTAATTAGCTGCCCTCTGGTACACCAAAACTTCAGTCCCACATGGGTCACGGCACCAATATAAACCATCAAGTACTACTTATCTTGGCTTAAGCACTTTTTTCAAAAGGCATTTAGGGGATTGAAATTTAGTTCCACAATTCTTACTAGATACCCTATGTTACACTACATCCGGGTCAAAGCACCAATGTAAACCCTTAGAATTGACCTCAATTCATTCTGAAACTGATTCAAACCAACATTAAAACTATTATGTGATTGGTCATGGTATTGGCATATGATCCAAGTTTGTCATTACGCTCTCCTAACACCAGTCTTTCAAGCTCAGATATGGCACTTACACATTTTGTCACGGCACTAATGTAAATCCTCCGGTTCTACTCAACTCAGCTCGAAGCACTTTTCAAAAGGCATTTAGGGGACCACAACTCTTACAAGATACACTCTGTTACACTCTAACTGGGTAAAAGCACCAATGTAAATATGATTGATTATGGTATTGGTACATGATCTAAGTTTGTCATCACGGTCTCTTACCCTTTAGTCTTTCAAGGACCTTCAAGGGAAGAGCAGATATATATATTGTAGGTGAGCTCAGACATGGCACTTAGACAGACTCCACAATGCACAACATGGGCCAACAAGCTCCGCCACCTTTCCAAAACACAGCACTACATTTGCAAACTAGCATTAATGATGTAATTAATCCAAGGTTGATCCAATATGGCGGCGCGTCCAGACACAGCAGCTTCGCGTGGGCCACAAAATAATGCTTTTTCACCACAAATTCACAAGGAAATCAACAAGGTACACATCTACGATCATTAAAACCTTTTGAAAATCGGCCGCGCTTACATACACAAACTCTCACCAGCGATGGCTGAAAAGCTACGAGGCCTTTGTTTACTGCTGGAGCCAAACTTCAAGACCACAGTCTCTCCATCAGATACTACTCGAACAAGGCAACGTTGAAGTTGGTGTGAAAGAGCACGCAAGCACTGTAAGTGCAGAGGCATACAAGCCAGGCCAAAGGCTGATTTATACTTCTGCGTCAAGCGCATACATATGCTACGGTGTGGCCTACGATGAGTGTGGGCGGGACTAAGAGCCGTGCGCGCCCAATGGAGTGATTGATTGCAAGTGTGGAGTCCCGTGAAGGAGCTCCAGATGGAAAGTTTTGTTTTCTGTTTACCTCATGGTTAAAGTTGTTGCACGTCCACTGGTTCCTGCCTCAAAATGAGCAAGTTTAAACCACTTGTACATTAAGGAAGCGTTCGAAAAAAACAAAACACCAGCAAAGAAACTTGAAACAGAGGAACATAAACACCTACTGCTAGCTAGCATTTCAGAAGTATATTTCAAAGCAACAGAAACGGCACGCAGAAGTATGAATACACACCTACGCGCGTTGCATGCACCATGGGTCACGCTGATCACTTGACGCAGAAGTATAAACCAGGCTTAAGGGCTAACCCCACGAGACCTGCCCCTCCAACACTCATGCTCTCAAATGTACACTCACAGGAAAACAAACAACTCAACAGATCTACACAGCATGAGGCACAGATACAACATTGTCTGGTAAGACCTAAGGGGGAGGCTTACGTGTTTACATAAACACTTACTTGGATAGTTATGGTTTTGGTAAATGATCTAAGTTTGTCATTACGCTCTCCTTACCCTTCATCCTTTCAAGGACTGTCGAGGGAATAGCAGATATATATTGTAGGTGAACTCAGACATGGCACTTACACAGACTCCACAAAACACAACATGGGCCAACAAGCTCCTCCGTTACCTTCCTAAAACAAAGCGCAAGGTGTCCGCCACATCTGCTTTGTCTTCCATTTGTTACTCTTATTGCCCATTAATTAAGCTCTAAAAATACCTCAAATGTAGCAGCCTCCCCGTTTGACAGATAATCACACTTGTTTATGGCCATCGACTCCATCGGCGGCCATTAATAACGGCGCAGCCATACACAGGCCTCCATTAATTACTGTGTAAAACATGAGCTGGATCAGATGGCCCTGATTACAGGAGGAGACAGAGGGAGAGACGTCCAGAGGGGCCCACCAAACACCTGGAACATTCACTCATACTCACGGAGCCGTCTATCTGCACTTTATCAACCATCTAGGTCTCGTTCTGTCTGTATCATTCGTCCTCCCCCATGCCGTCCCGCCTGGCTCTTCCTCTTGTTCGCCAGCAGCGACAACCTGCTATCGACTCCAACAAACTATCTGTAAGAGGCTCTTTATCATCCTGGCCTCCCGCGTGGAGTCATGCTGTAAACCTAGAGAGAGTCACACCACCTGGGCTCTCAGATGCTGATTAACTTGAGCATGAAGAGCGGAGTGACGTGGGCGAATCACAGCTGTGAAGTCCACCAGTTTCAGACTGAGTCAGCACTTTTGTATTTAGACAAAGTTTATAATGCACAATGTGGAAGATCAAAGAAGATGTCAGAACATCTGGCTTTTCATTCATATGCTGAACTGTTGGGGGAGATTTCCTAAAAAGTGATTTTCTATACATGACCAAACCCCAGAAAAAAAAGTATTTCCGTTTTTATGTAAAAAAAATAAAATAAAAAATTTAAAACAACTACAACAAAATCAATGGTTTAAGCTTGTTTTAACAACAGTAGTAGCCCTAAATAAATAAATATGTTGCAAATGGCATGTTTCAGAATTTTTGTAACCTGGCAGGCAATTTTCTGTCAGCTTTTATTATTACACTTTTTATTACTTTGTCTTTATTTTTTTATTTTTTTTATTATACTGCAGTGATGACGTTGTTATAGACAACAACTGGCTTTAAAATTACAACCAGTATAATTAATAAAAACACATAGTAAAATTTTATACTACTTAAAAATATTAGTATAAAAATTGTATTTTCATTAACAAAAACTATTTTATACTATTATATAGTAATACTGTCAAAACTAATTTTCTTAGATATTTTATATAAATATCTATATATTTTTTAAATACATTACTAAAAACTTAAAGGTATATAGTCTTAGTTTTGCTTTACTGTAATGACCCTCACCAAAAAATCCTGACAAAACAATTAAAAGGTAGATTTAAGTTAAACTTCAACTAAATAAAAATGATAATAAATAAATATGGGAAATTATTCTATTTAAATCTAAAAAAAGTAATTAAAATGTTTTTTTAATAATATTTCATAGTTAATCTATTCATAATATATTATTTTAAATTCATGATTTCAGATTTAATTAACTACTGTTTGTTATCCAAGAAGTGCATTATAGAGAAACGCTGCCTGAAAATCAATAATTTATTCTTAGGAGTTAAACAATGATGTGACATAAATGTCTATTAAAAGCAGCATTCTCTTCAATACAGGTAATAAACATGAACGGAGTATCTCACCTTCATGAAGGCCTGGTGAAACACGCAGGTGAGCTGCTCATGCTTGGCCTTTACTCTGCCTGCTGTTACGTTAGATGTTCCGTTTCCACTGAAATAAAATCGAGAAGGGAAGCCTTCTTTGTGGTGAACATCAGCTGTAAGGTTGTACTTCAGCTCTGCAAAGAAAGAATACAATATTACAATTAGACAACATTAACAATTCAATTTAACAATTCAATTCCTTTAGAACATAATATCACACACTCCACTCTCAGCTTATTTGTTTATCAGGGGTCAATAGTGGTTTCATTTATAAACCAAATTACTAATTTAAAAGTACATTGAGATTTTGGAGCACAATATACTGCCTTATTTTTCAGCGACACCCATGCATATTTCAACAAGAGAATGCAAAACCACATTCTGCACACATTACAAAGTCCTGGCAGAGGAGGAAGAGGATACAGGTACTTGACTGGCCTGCCTGCAGTCCCGACCATTTTGAACCGCAAAATGCGACCCAATTCTTTTGCCCAAATTAAGACTTGTTTGTAAGAAAAATGGGACAAAATTACACCTGAAACTCTTCATCACTTGGTTTCTTCAGTCCCTTAGTGTCTTTTTAGTGTTGTGAAAAAAATGGCAACATTAAAAAGTTGTGAATGCTTTACTGCTCCAACTTATTTTGAAATGTGTTGCAAGAACCAAAATTGAAATATGTGCGTTTATGTTGGTGGAAAAAAAAACACAAGCAATAAAAAATGATAATGAACACATTAAATAATGTTTGTTGAACTGTCTGCAATGAAATACAAGTCAAAGTAAGTGTAGAAATCAGTTCTTTCTTTCTTTTTAATTTGCGTTTTCCACACTGGTCTCAACTTTTTCTGATTTGGGATTGTACATAATAATCTATAATATTATTGATATATATATATATATATATATATATATATATATATATATATATATATATATATATATATATATATATATATATATATATATATATATAATAAAATAATATAATTTAAATTTAAACTACATAAATAACAGTTAATGCTTAATATTTTTGTGTAAACCATTATTAGTTGGGGTTCTTTGATGATTAGTATATTAGTTCTTTACTAGTTTTGTTTAAAAACACCTGTACAATTATATATGTTTTATTGATACGTTTGATTTAACAACTCTGTACTAAATAAAAAAAATAGCACAGTATTTAAATGAATTAATGAAATATGTAACTGTTTTTATTTAATATATTACTGAGCCAAATACTGAGACAAATTTCCTTAATCACAGCATATATTTAAACATCATAATTAGGGATGCTCATTTCGGTTAATTTTGACAACCTACAACAACTGCTCATTAACCAAATATTAACGGTTAACTGGTCAGATTCATATAAAATTATGATTTAATTTTAAAAAATTATGTGTCTATTTTGTTTCTAACACATTACATATTGCATTATAAAATATTGCTGTTTCCAACAGCATAGAAAAAAGAACAAACTAAATAAAAAGATAAAAATAAATAGTCCTGCTCTAGATATTTTTTACTTAAATTATACATTTGTATTAAAAAACGAAAACACTGACTGAATCCTTTTTAAGAACCAGCGTTTTAATTCCCCATAATATGTTTTTTTTTCTTCCGTCAAATACAAATTGCAAGCTACCTTAAATCAATCTTTCCACAAAATACAGGCCCTTGCATTTAAATAATGATCCGCTCTAATTCTTATATCGCAGCTCTGATCACACTGAATAAAAGAACTGCAGTGTCACTAGGAAACGACTGAATCTGTCTCTGCTTTCATTTGATTTAAAAATGAAAAAGATGTGACTTATGTTTCCGCTCAGGGTTGTCTTTTTTTTAACTGCAAGAATGCAGTGCGCAACGCCAAAAACGTAAAGCGTGCAGGTTGCATAAGCAGGGTGCAAACATTTGTGGCCATTAGTAAACGCAAAAAAAGCACATTTGCTGTAAACGGCTCCTAATGCAACCAAACTTTAAAAATACATGAAATAATATTTTTAAGCGTTTAACTGATACCATTAATCAGTAAAAAAATAAAAACACCCTTTCGGTAAACGATTAATCGCTTTTTTTTTTTTTTGCTGCAAACCCAATTACAAAAACAATAGCATAAAAGGTTTTATATTAAATAACACCTATTTTAGATAACGCAGTTATTACAATATTTTTGGTAACACTTAATTTTGATGGTCCAGTTGAGTATTAGTAGATGGTCTGCCTAATATCTGTTAATACTGCTCCTTCAACAGACATTTAACTGACTATGAGAAACTTTGCAAGTACATGTCAACTTACACTAACCTCAACCCCAACCAAACAGTCTACTTATAATCTAATGACAATTAGTTGGCATGTAGATGCAATTTAAGTTAAATTCAACAAATGGACCATCAAAATAAAGTGTGACCATATTTTCAATAAAAAAAAAAAAAAATTAAAAAAAAAAATAAATAATAATAATAATAATAATAATAATAATAATTTCATTTGATAATCAAAGTCTATTAGTGACAAAAAAATAATAAGGTAGAAAAACAATTGAATACAAAACAGATTAGATTTGACTGTCGATTCTGAGTGTTTAAGCCACAGTCAAAGCAGTTATGAAGATCCTCTACAAATCTAAACAATGTATCTTGACTTGTCATTGCACCTAACAATTTCTTCTCCAAATTAACTTGTATGAGACACATCCCACTCTTCATTAAATAACACTCCAGTCCTGTTGAAATCAGCCAACTGTGATACAAACGGTTGAGCGAAACCTCTGCTCTACTTCATATCAGTAGGAAGATTATTAGTATTTGTCATCAAGCAAGGCTCCGTTGTTTACTGTGTAGTCACCGAGTCTGGATCTATCAGTAAAGGCAGCCTTGACATACACCCTCTAACAGGCAGTCCTCTAACTGCCACAACAAAAGAGGGGATGGAGAGCGGAGATAAAAAGCTGGGAAAAAAGTCTGAAACACAGCGGACTGCCACATGCTGATAAGACAAGCAACACACGGCCCATCGCAAAACAAAGAGCCAAAAACCTTCATCCTTGAACACAGCGTCCTCGAATTTAAGAGCACATGTCGAGAGCTCAAAATATCAGAAGCCATTTACATAGCTAAAAAAAAAAAAAGTCCACAGGAAGGTAGTTGCATAAAAAAGAAAAAAGCTTGCAACAGACTAGGGATTTTTATTGCACAAATCTCACTACATGTGGATTTGGAGGGAATTTGAAAGAGATGTTTCAGATAAAAATGACAATTCAGTCATTGTGTTCTCACTCTGATTTTGTTTAATGCTGTATGCCCTTTGCTACAGCTTAGTTTTTAACATATAGTGCTCTTTTTAACTATACACTCAAATGCAAATGAGGAAGAGTGCTTGTGTTTTTGTTAGTCACGAAATTGGAGTTTTTTTTGTCATGAGATTGATGTAAACACAGCTTTCTGTAAACACTCCTGTAATTCACTTAAACATATGATGTGCAGTATATATAGTAGAAAATGAATATCAACCAACATTTATTAAAAAAAATAAATAAATAATTATATATATATATATATATATATATATATATATATATACACACACACACACACACACACACACACACACACACACACACACACACACACACACACACACACACACACACACACACACACACACACACACACACATATATATATATGCAAAAAGACTAAAGAATGTGCTATATATTTAAAGTGTTTACAGGATATGCAATACAGCTAGGTGAAGTGCAAACCAAATTTTGTTGTATTTTTTAAAGAGCCCCTATTATGAGTTTTTGAAAATTACTTTACATGCAGTAACACAGCACTAAGTGAATTAAAACATCCAGCTGAGGTTTAAATCTAAAAGTGCAACATGTTTAAAACTATTGATTCTTTAGCAAAATAGTTGACTTAGTTGATCTTTTAATTAATCGCGTCGACATCGATACAGTACATCACCAAATATGTACTTCCAGTTCCAGTAAAATGTGAGGTGCGGGGATCACGGGACTGACCAAAACGCAAAGATGACGATCGCTGATCCCTCTGCTGTGGGGAATAAAGGGTTAAAGTTCATTTTCACAACAATACCACAGTATAGTCAGCCTAGTGCTTTGTTTGCTCCTGTCATTTTTCTGACGATTGATACAATAGCCTACAATGCAGCGAGGGATTCGCCGGCCGAATTCCCTTTGACAGGGACTTTGTCAGTAACTGTTACAGTTCAAATGGACCAGTTTCTTCATCCTCCAGATCATAACATGTAAGTGTAATTAAAATTGTTGTCTTATTTTGTGTAGTTTGCAAAATATGTGTTTAATAGTGTGTTATAAGTTGTAATGGCCCCGCGTGACTTGCAATCATCTATGAATCATAGATCAGTGCTTGTACTGTATCTCTCAGGTTAAATCTGTATTGGGCTGTTCACATATTGCGTCCACAACCATGTTAAAAACGTGACGCGTGCTTCTTCCTTTACAGATTTAAATGCATTTCTGAACTGGCGATCCTTTACTGTTTGTTGCTATGGCCACCATCAGCTGTTCCTCACACATGCAGCGCGGTCAATTTCATAACAGCTCAACTTTTGCCATTGTGATGATCAATACTGAATGTGTGTCGCTGTTATTATTTGGGGTTAGGTTTAAGAGTAGAGTAATGTGCTGGTCTGCTTTCATATCTTCTCTGGCTGCTAATTCATAGAAGTGGTGAACTTTTCTCTCTGTCTCGTGCTGAACGCAGTCGACCAATCGCAATAGACTGAGTCATCGGAGATGACGGCAGATTAGCTTTGCGCTTAAAGAGGGGTTTGAGAACAAAAGGGAGTCGCTAGGATAATTAGGTAAAAAATAAATGCACATTATAAGACAATGAAAGTGTTTTGTTGTTGGAAACACTTAAAACCCAAAATATGACCTTTAATAATGCAAAATAGGGGTCCTTTAAACCTTTTCAGACTTTATTAATGATTAATTTTAGGTTTGAATGTTATCTATAAGGAATTAGACACAAGCTAAATATGACTGTAAAGCTTAGAATGTAATCTGCTTTTAAACACCAAGCTAAGAATCCACTCAAGAGAAAATAGCCATGCATTTTGAAAATCGCTGACGTGCGAATAGTTTCATAAACACACAGTAATGCAAACAAAACTTGCATGCATTACACTTGACATTACTTTTTTGTTTCTTTATCTTAATGGTGGTTGTAATTCACTAACATTATAAAGTCAAGCACAAGCAAATTATTTTACAATTCTAGCTCCCAGTTAAAACTCAGAACAACATTTTGAAAGCTGGACTCGATAACTTACAGACAAAAAAACTCGATTGACCTCTGATAGGAGTGTAAATGCATTTTATTTGTGTCATTTCTAATAATATTGATTTCTCAAAGCAAATTGTTTTTCCTAGCCTAGCCTAATTAATTGGATAGATGGATGGATGGATGGATGGATGGATGGATGGATGGATGGATAGTCTACCTAAACAGTTTTACTAACAGTTTTTACGACTACATGCTAAGTTTCATGAATGCGCAGTTGTGCACAATCCGGATTTTTGATCAATTATACATTAGACTTCACATTACTTTATGATGATGGCTTTGGCTGTAATTCTCTGCTATGAAAGTCCAGCAAAAGCTGAACATTTTTTTACAACTCCCTTTTGTAAAGCTTTAAAAAAAAAAAAAAAAGAAAGGCATACAGCAATTGAACAGCAATAGGGTGAACTATCATTTTATGTCTCAAATTACATTTCTAAAGCAATCAAATGAAGAAAAACACTACTATCTGTATAGGATATGAGTGTCTTACCTATGTTTCCGGGGATTTGTTTTCCTCTGACCCTAAAGCACACCCTGACTTTGATGCAGACAGCAGGCTGGCCGTTTTCAGTGCACTGGGCTACAGAACGATTCAAGCTCTCAGGCAACAACATAACAGCATCCACCTTCACCACTGGACGAGTCCTGAAACAAACAGAATGACAGGAATAAGTGTCAGATGAACAAATGAACGCACAAACTGCATATATATTGTGTATGCCAGGGCTAGTTGTAACACAGAGAATTTGTCAAACAACAAATATAGTCAACGTTTTTTCGAATCTGAAACAAGCTGCCACCTAAATATTTAAGCAACAAATAAAACTGTTAATAATCAACCTAAAGATTCAAAAAAGTTGGCACACATTTTGATTCACGGATAAATGGGAATTGTATAGTATGTGATGGTCAGAAATTAACTTGTCTATTAAGGTGCAATATTTTCTAAGTGAAAATCTAAAAATATAGTCTTACATTGTACTGTAATCCATAAACTGCACAATTATTCTCTCCATAATTTCAAAACATAATTTTTCTCTTTTAATTACAACCAAAATGCGGTAAACATTATTGTGCAGAGATATTTTTGTCTCCTTATATTGAATTCGTAGGGCATTTTTGCGACAAGCCCTTGGTAATTTAATGTATGAATCAATTAATTAATTGATGTTCATTCATTTTACAGTTAAATAAATGTTGTTTATTATTTATATTTTATGCCTCATGTTAGTGTATTTATATATTATTTCTGAATTAAATAAAAAAACATTTTTACACAGACACATTATTTATAAAATTATACATTTCAAGAAAGATGGCAAAAACGAGTAAGTTTTTTAAGCAAGACCATAAAAAATGCCTATACTAACATTAATAAAGGATTCTCCTTTTATTTAAAAATATTTGTTAAAGTAAAAAAAGCCACAACAAGCCCAAAATCTCCACTATAAAGTTATAAAGCTGAGATATAATATGCAGAATTATTCTGTTTTCCATTCTGATTTTTAAGATAATTTTCCGAATGCTATAATATTCTAACTAACTAAAAACGTAATGAAAGCATAAATGCAAATGAGCTAAAATGCATAAGAAACTGAGAAAAGCATTGCAAAGCAATTTAATTTAGTCATGCATGCCAAATCTTAAGATCTGATGTTTTCTAAAAGCCAGAAGCATGTGTTTGAAAAATGCATGTGCTGCTTTTTACCTGAACACCACAGCTGAGTCTGACAGGAAAGCTCCCACTGCAACATCTGGGTGAGAACATAAAATACCCATAAAACACCCTGACCTGGTTATTCCTTAACACATTCTCTCACAATTTACTGCTTCACTGACATTCTTTTAAAAATTAAACACCAATGTCTATAAGCAAGGTCTCAGTCACTGAAACCAATCGTCATTTAACCTAAATTTAAAATGTGTGCTTGTAGTTGTGTAAAATAATGCTTGTTTTCGATATATAAAAGTTATTTGTTTTGTAAAGCAGCTTTTAATTGTTAGCTCAGATTTAAGCTAATTAATTTGAATGTGATACACATGGCACGAAACACAGAATATAGACTCAAGCAACTTTGTAGAGGTAGAATATAATATAATAAAGTTAGCCACAGACCTGAATATGCTTGAAAACAGTGGTCGGTGCGTGGTTATTGCGAACTTCACAGTTAACTTAACATGTTAACACGTTCGCACCAAATCATGGAAATGAATCGTTTATCTGACACACATAGGCCTACTGTAAGTGACGAGCAGTAATTCTAATTTCTAATTTAAATATGTCATTCCAAATCATATTAAAATACAAGTTTAGGTTTATTTTTCAAACATATACAAATATGTCATATGTACTGTACATGCAACGTATTTCAAAATGTATAAAACAATTGTTTGTGTGCATGTGCGTGTGTGTGTGTGTGTGTATGTATATATATATATATATATATATATATATAGACAGTTAAAATCAGAATTTTTTAGCCCTCTGAATTATTAGCCCGGTTTATTTTTTCCCCCAATTTATGTTTAACAGAGAGATTTTTTCAACAATAAAATTAATAATTTTGTCTTTAAAATGTTTTTAAAAAACTAAAACTGCTTTCACGCTAGCAAACATAAAACAAATTAGACTTTCTCCAGAGGAAAAAATATTATCAGACACACTGTGAAAATGTACTTGCTCTGTTAAACATCATTTGGGAAATATTAAAAAAAAATAAATAAATAAGGGGGGCTAATAATTCTGATCTCAACTGTATATATATCTGCTATTTTGTAATTGTATGTATATGATGAGTAGACTACTATAAATTAATACTTTACAAGTACTGCAGTTTTCTTTTTCTTTTTTAAGAAGTGTCATTTTTAATTCATTTTAAGAGCACATTTTAATTTAAACTGTGAAGTTGTTCTTTTTTGTCTGCAACACAGTTAATGTTGAACTATTTATAATGTTTAAAGCAGCTGACAATAATACATATTCTTAATAAAAGAAATTAATCTGCTTAGTTTTTTTTTTTTAACTGTGCAGTGCTGTAGCTGCTTAATTCGGCCCGCTACGCTACTGTACTTCAAAACAAGTCATAATGGTGGTACTTGGAGAGACAATTTATTTCTGAGGTGGTACTTGGTGAAAAAAGGAACCACTGCACTAGTCTATTAACACTGACGGCATGTTGTTTCTTTAAACAAGACTGGCTAGAAACCATACAAAAAAGTAAGAAAATAATTTTTGGCAGTATAGTCTTAGAACTTCTATACATCAACTGCATCTAACTTATATAGAGAAATCCAAGGGATATTAAGCATTTTAAAAATCAATAGTCAAATATCTTCAGGCAAACTTCAGAAGGTTGTGTTCTGTACAAAATGTTGATGGTAATCTTTAATTATGAAGAAAATTTGCATACTCTTTACAGTAAACATACAGTAGTGCTAAGCTTTTTTAAAACAGCTTGCAGTCATTTGCATATTGTCTGCCTTTAAAAAAAAGTTTATTATTTCGAGACAGGAAATAGAGTCTGAGAATGAGAAGTTCAGACACATCTGACTTGATCTTGACCTTTTAAAAAAAAAAAATTAAAAATCATAAGACAGAGTTATTTGTGCATGTTCAGTTCTCATATCTGAATTCACTCACCAATATTCAGGATTGAAAACTGGAAAAATTAAAAAAAATGTATAGATGCTTAAGTAATGTAAAAAAAAATATTGCACCGCACTAAATATTTTATTATTTCATAAACAAATATGTGACATTTGTTCTGGAGCAACACAGAAAAGTAATAGGTCAAAAGACACACATCTTCTGAGCATATGTTTTGAATTTGATGAATAGTTTTGACTAATATTATGCAAAATTAAATTTCTGGAATTATTTTTCTGAGACAATGTCTTGTGATGTGTGGGTGAGTATATAGTGAGTTTCATTTTTGTGTGAACAATCAGTGTGAAAAAAAAGTTTCATTTATCAAGTTTCGTTTTTGTGTGAACCACCACTATGATCAGACTCGTAGCCAGGGGAGGTTCGGGTGGTTCGAAAGACTCACCCGTCTACTGACAAAGGTTCCAGTTTTTCTCCCATACATTAGCTCATTTGCCTTATTTTGACAGTTATGCCATCATAAAGTCTCAAAATAACCCATGAAAAGTGTTAAAGTAGGACCTGCAAGTAAAGTCAACTTTCACTGTATTGTTGTTAAATAGAGAAAACATTTTATTCTAAATCTTGGACCCTATTCTTATTCTAAAAAATTCCTTATAAAATGTTGTGAAGCACTGAAAAGCGGCCCGTACTAAAGTTACTTATAATATTTACAAGGCTATTGCTGTTATTCATGAATTATCAAATTCTTTTTACAAGAAAGGCTAGAAAAATCATAAAGCTCTAAATTGACATTATCAGGGGTTGACATTAACTTTTTTGATCACCAGCAACAATTTTGTTGTCGGGAAAATATATTTTATATTAATATAAGTTTGACTTTGGCATGCTTAAATTACTTGGTTTAAATTGATTGTGTTATGTCTACATTTACCTTCTCTGGCTATTACTAATGACAGAACTAATTATTTCCTTGACACAAATTTTAAGCAATGTGTCAAAACAAGCAAATTGTAGCAATATATACTGTATACACTTTTTATTGAACAAAAATGTTCTTAAAAATGTACATTAAACTATTACATATTATATTACATTAAATTACATTACATTATATTATATTATACTATACTATATTATATTATATTATATTATGTTATGTTATGTTATGTTATGTTATGTTATATTATATTATATTATATTATATTATATTATATTATATTATATTATATTATATTATATCGTTACAGTTATATTATTGCGTACAATTTACATATTAGAGTTGCGTTTCCAGGCACGGTTGCTTTGCACAAGAAAACGAGCGTATGCAAGCTTTTAGAACACTCGGCCACATCACATCAGCTGTGCAATGCTAAACAATAAAGTCCTCGTCAGTAAGCGAGGACGCTTGTGTCTCACCATGCGCTTGATCCCC